AACTATCAATGAATTTGTATCAAATGAGATGAGAAGAGTGTTTAGTAGAGAAATGATGATTAGTTTGTTCTATAACATCAACTTTTGTTTTTTTTTTTAACTGTCAAAATTGTTTCACTATTCTGCTGTATTTATCAATAATAATTATAAATAAACAAATCAGAATTTGTTTAGAAACTTTACTTTTGCTTTTACTGATTTCAATATTGAAAATTTTTCATTGAATATACATGATTATATATTTTACTTTATCATAGAGCAAGAGAGAGAAATAGAGATAGTTTCAGTATAAGAAGATGGATCTACCTTGCCTTGCACCTTCATAGACAGAAAAAGAGGGAAACTTAAATAAGCCAAAGTATTGAGTTAAGACACATAACATAATGATCTAAATAGATTAGAACAAGAAATCAACAATTAAATATACCACTATCAAAGGCTAAAAAATGAATATTATGTCAAACTTCTCTAGAAGGATTTATATGCTACGTTTTTGAACTTATTTTAGATAAAAAAGCTATCTCTTCTGAGAGTGAGCCATTTTTCAATATGATTGGATTTGTAGGTCAATAGTTTTAACAGTTTTCCCGAGGTTTTAGATAGGAAATGAAGTTTTTTCAGTAGACGCTTGCAGGAGATCCACAGGTTCCATCGTTAGAAATACTAACCTAGGTGGCCATCACACAGTCTTGATCTCACTGTTTTGAATTAATACTTGTGGCATACTACAACCAATAATATGCAATGAAATAAAATCAAAAATGATGATTTTGTAATTGATGAAAAAAGAAAATGATCATGTTCGCAGTATGTAAAATGTGTTATACAGTCTTTTGCCTTCATTGAAAAGAAACGGCGTATATAAAAAAAAATTGAATCAAACATACAAAATGATAGAAAGAAAAACAATTAACACAAAACTTAGTAATTCTTTATTGATTACTCATTAGATTAATATGAAAAAGTAAACTGCGTTTCTTAATAAATCTATTATATTATAATTATTATTCTATCTACACTTGTACAATTGTCGTTTACGACTAATTTTCATATTAAATACATAGTTACGAAAAATTTTCAAATTAAACATAGACTAATACTTTTATTAGTTTAGGTTTTTTTGTGTATGAAAAAAATTTCAATGAACAAATTACTCAAACCTCAGTTAAATATAAAAAATAAATGAAAAAGAATCTATATTTTAATTAGACATTTTATTGTCGTGAATGAATTGATTCATGAATAAATTTTCTTTTTCTTTGAGTTAAATCAACTGCTTTATCACCATAATCTTGAACAATTCAGTTTGCTGTTATTAAATTTCAACACCTATTTATAATCAATCATTTTCATTCTAAATATTTTCGAATATTTTTCTTTTCATACCTAAACTAAATCGATAATCATTAAAAAATCGTATACGAACATTATAAAAAACACATGCGTTATCAACATTAGTTATGAATTCATTGGCTGCATTTTCTAAAATGAAAACTCTTATATTTTGTTTTTGTTAACTATATAATTAAATAATTACAATTTTTAGTTACAATCGAATCTGTATGATTTGAACAGAATTTATTCATATGTCCTATTGGATCATTAATATCATCTATGATTTCAATACAACATAATAAATCTTCATATTTCATATGTAATGTATTTGCTAGTGGTGGTGGTGGAAATGCAAGTAATACCGAAAGACATGAACCTGAATAAACTATCATCTAGAAACAGAAAAAAAATAACAAATTCTTTAACCTATTGATAAAAATACTAATTCATTGAATTAATCTTTTCAGCTCGAAATAAATGAATGAGTGATTCAAAAAATGATGTTCGAATAAGATCTTTATATACAAGTAATATTTCCATATAGCATTACATCCACTTGAATAATCACATATTGAATCTCGTACTAAATATACGAAATAGAGATATTGCAAAAAATTTCATATAAACTTTATATCCTTATCAATACGTAAAGTCATATCTAAATTTGCATCTTTATCAATAAATACATGACAAATACCTTCAGCATAACCTAAGACAACTATTTGTACACTTTGTTTTTGTATAGAACAAACAAGTTCATTTGAAGCATGTGGAATAACAAGATCAATGTATTTTTCCAATCGAAGAAGATTAGCTACTTGTTCACATGTATTAATCTAACGTAAAAAAAAAACTTTTCTTAAGTCTTCATTTTCAAAAAAGAACAACAAGAATCTTTAATTACCAAAGCAATTGTATTACGAGGAACAAATGGTTCAAGTGCATCTTTCATTAATTTTATTAATATTTCATTTGAATATGTCGCTTCTGAGAATCACCTTCTAATAAAAGATCATTTCTTGAACAGATAGATAACGCAGCAATTTGTGGTAAACGATCTGGTCAGAATTCAAATATAGCAAGAAGAACACCAATTCGTCTTTGTTATTTGTTTTAACATGAGTCCATCAGATACATGTGTTTGTCGAACAACTTGTCCTAAAATATATAACAATATAGATGTTAGGATAATCTTCGTTGGATAAAAAGTGTGAAACACAATGGAACTACTGTCAGTAGAGAATTCACCAGTCAGTTTGTAATAAGGGCAATGGAAAGTTATTTTAAGGTGCCGCTAATGCAAAAATCGAGCAGAAAACGAATCTCGACAAATTATGCATCAGTCGATAGAGATTTTCACGCTGATTCAGAATATATATTTTCCAAATTTTCAGATCTCACCTGAACCGAGAAAATCGCAAAATACAAAAAAATTCAATAAACCCAAAAAAAGCTGCTTTTTCATCATTAATTTCAGGCTTGATGCATCTTTGATTAGACTTTTTTCAAGAAAAGTATATTATTTAAATCAAGCACACAAAACTGTGGTATTAAGATGAGTTTGATGAAATTTCATCAATCTTGTGACTTTTGGTTGGCTTCCTAAGACCTACCTTGTATATTATCGAGAGCCTTACTTTGTAAACCTATCTCCTTTTTTTTCTGTAAGAGCTAAAATAGGTTTTTTTTAAGCATTTGAACCATTAGATCAATAAGAAAAAAGTTACGTATGCTCGTAATCCAGAGTTTTAGCGTTGTCAAGAAAATTCACATTTTATGTAACCATGGTAAAATATGGCAAAAAACGCTTGAAAATCTGATCATTTTTTCGAATTTAATTTCGAACGAATTGTTTTCATGCGAAATAAATATGATATTCGGAATCAGCTCAACAAAATCACGTCGAATAAGCTATATTTTGCCAGAAAATGGTTTCCATCAAAATGTCACCTGTACCCCCCTTCAGGACAATATTGAGGGGAAACACAGCTGAGGTGGACCACAGGCAAAATTTCGATGGAAACTATTTTCTGGCAAAATATAGCTTATTCGACGTGATTTTGTTGAGCTGATTCCGAATATCATATTTATTTCGCATGAAAACAATTCGTTCGAAATTAAATTCGAAAAAATGATCAGATTTTCAAGCGTTTTTTGTCATATTTTACCATGGTTACATAAAATGTGAATTTTCTTGACAATGCTAAAACTCTGGATTACGAGCATACGTAACTTTTTTCTTATTGATCTAATGGTTGAAATGCTTGAAAAAAACCTATTTTAGCTCTTACAGAAAAAAAAGGAGATAGGTTTACAAAGTAAGGTTCTCGATAATATACAAGGTAGGTCTTAGTAAGCTAACCAAAAGTCACGAGATTGATGAAATTTCATCAAACTCATCTTAAAACCACAGTTTTGTGTGCTTGATTTAAATAATATACTTTTCTTGAAAAAAGTCTAATCAAAGATGCATCAAGCCTGAAATTAATGATGAAAAAGCAGCTTTTTTTGGGTTTATTGAATTTTTTTGTATTTTGCGATTTTCTCGGTTCAGGTGAGATCTGAAAATTTGGAAAATATATATTCTGAATCAGCGTGAAAATCTCTATCGACTGATGCATAATTTGTCGAGATTCGTTTTCTGCTCGATTTTTGCATTAACCTCACCTTACATTCAGACAGGCGCAGAGGAGCTGACACGAACAGACTTACCTATGTTCAATATCTTGAACCGATGGCATAGTCTGATTAACTCGAAATCGACCTATCATTATTCCACTACATGAAAATTTTGAAACATTCGATGTGAGCAATGTGTGGCTGCTGAGTATCTAGAGATTGTATCCTAATACAGACACTTTTTCATTGTAATAACGATGATCGAAGAAATTCTGTTCCAAACTATTATGAAACTATGAATAATGAATATGAACAATTTTGCGACAAAAATAGGAATGTCACTCTACCGTTTGATAGTTCTGCGAAAGGAAAGCGTTTCAATGCTGAGAGATTTCTCTGTGAACGACCTAATGATAGAAACAAACGGATGGTTGGTTGTGTATTTCTCACTTAGTAGAACCAAAAGCTCAATTAACTATACAACACTAGGATAAGTTATCCGATTCTATCAGAAAACTCGCCAGATCTGTCAAAATCCAGACGAATTTTGTCCGAAGTTGGTGGAATTGCAGAATAGGATTTTGTCAGTCGGGCCCAACTGATGGAAAACGTTGGAATAATCGGCATTCTGATAGGGTATGACTAAAGCAATTCTATCCTGGTCTTCTATGAACTTTAAACAAGTTTCAAATGGATTCGATAGTTCTATGTGGCAGTTTTGACTTGAGATCATGAAGAAAAAGTGACTACATGAAAAAAATTCTTCAATTCTATTTTGACGAGTTCTACTACAGCTAAGTTTCATAATAAGAATAAGAAAAGAAGAAGATCATCAACAAATGAAGAAGGAAGAGTTTTTTCGAAAAAAAACAAAAAAAGGAAAAGGAGAAGCATTCACAAGTCAGTCTATTATGAAATGTTTAGATATTGATAGCAATCAATTGTTCTATTATAAAAATAAATGATACAAATAATTTCACTTACAAGAACTATCTTTTATATACATGAAGTAATATTAACAAATGATTTTTATTTACATTTGAGAATTTTGAGACAACAATATGAGAATTTTTATGAAATAATACTAGGACAAGATACAATATTCAAAGGAGGAAAATAATGATTAAATTTTGTTGGATAATCACATGGATCATAAAAGATTAATCGTTTTATATTAGCACAATTGTGTCGTGTTGCATCTCTTGTAAAATTTTTTGTGACATTTTTCAGATTAGAATAAAATAGTGTTAATTCGATTAAACGAGGTACATGAGCCTTTGTATCAAGTAAAAATTGTTCAACATAATATCGATTCTGAACCATGATATCCAGTGAAATAAGATGAGAAAATTGAATAATTGGACATGATTGAATATAATCAGCTTCATATTTGTCAAAATCCATGAATAACAAAATTTTATTGAAAATAGTAAGGTGTTTCAACAATGGAAAAGCTTTAGCAATTCGAATGAAGAAATCATGTTTGAATTCAACATCATCAAACACCTTCAAATAAGTAACATGATGGAATATTATAGTTGGAAATGTATTGGTGATCATTTCAAGGTGATCAAATGCGAATGGAAGTGAGAAACCATGACATATTGCTTTGGATCGACTATAGTTTACAATACAAGATGTTTGATAATAACCTATATTTTGAAAAGTATTTTTTATATTATTATCAGATAAACGATGAAATGAATCATCAATTTGAATAATAGTACTAATATAAAAAATAAATGTATGAAGTTGTGACATATACATAAGAATTTCTTTATGTAGATGAGTACCATCAACAAATGTAGATTGATCTGTAATACGAATATATAAAGTTAATTTTTCCAAATTTATCATACGATGTAATAAAGGTATCACTCGATTTTCATATGCATTAGTTAGATTATAACATGTTAATGAAAAACATTTCAAATTAGATAAATTATCCTAGAAAATAAAAAAACATATATTTAAAAACTACATCTAATTACGAAAATATTTACATCAATTATCGATCAAATATTTTTATTTATATTCAACTATTTGAACTTTTTCTTATATTTAATCTGAATATATAAAGTGAATCAAATCCCTTCCGTCATACAGATCGTGACGAGCACCTTGATAATTCTATCCTTGAGGATGTGAATAACATCTAATGTCGTGCTTCACATGTCAATCCTATAAGAATTGCGTTAACAATTTTTTTTTTCAATAATGACAAACAAAATAATTGATATACTTTCTCTAAACTCTCACTATATCAATTAGAATACATTGTAAAAGAACTCGAAAATTTTTTAACAAAGATCATCATTTGTTCAAAAACAAAAATATCTAGATAAAATTTGAATAAATTACTACATTATTTAATTATTTGATTAAATAATTATATTGAATAGAAATTAATTATGAAAAAGTCAAGTGTTATATTCTATTTTTATTCGTATAAAAAATAAACGATGAATTACATTATTGATCTATTCAATATTCTAATAGACAATATAATCGTTATGTTAAAAAAAATAATTTTAAAATAAATTTATACAACTTACAGTATTATGAATAATTGATAAATCATTGTGAATATCACGTATTTGAACAATGAATGTAGTTAATCGTTTAATACGACCATCAAGTAAATAAAGACAATCATCTAAACTACGTATATTGATACATAGTTTTGTAAGAGTCGAAGAGCAAAAAGTAGTTGATGGTAAATCAACTATTGATAATGGTGGATAACTGCTCGTGAATGATCCAACAATACTTAAAGACTGAAGATTTTCGAATAAAGTCAATATAGATACATATACATTTTTATTATATTCTTTTGGTGATATATTTTCATCTGCGTAATCATTGTTATCATTATTTTCAAGAATAAGTTCTGTTATTTGATATTTGAAAATATGTTGAAAAATTGACTTATCTAAACAAAAACAAAACCAATCAGATCATATATCTAGTTTTATTTAAATGCTACTATGTATCTTGATTTTTTCATATATATATGAATATTTACCTGTAAAATAATTTAAAGCGATATTTTGTCCAAAATTAAACAATTTGAGAGAAGTCAATTTTGGATAGTTACTAGCAAGAAGAATACGCTCCATAGACATTGGTTCAAGAATAAAATGTTTAATATTATGATGAATTTTTGGTAATATATCAATACAAAAACGATCAAGTATTCGATCATCAATTGAACAAATATCATCATCATCATCAGTTGATGATTTTGAAATCATATTGAGGGTATTTGTAAAAATATTATCTTGTAATAGAATGTCAAATTGTTCATCGATGGTACCCATTAATGAATACAATACATTTGTATTGTCAAGTCTTTTCAATATTATAAGCAATATCTCATTTGGTAAATCAAGAAGATGAATATCTGACTGATTCATGTTTCATTTAAATGGACAATTCTTGCTAAATGGAAATATATATATATATGTTGTTTGCTTTATAGTTGCTGCCGTCAGCGAACAAAAGAATAATGAATTCTTTGAGAGAAAAATGTAAAACGAATCTATCGTCTACTTTGTTTATGAGATCATCAATTAAGAATGTATAGATAAAAATCGCATTTTTTGATCCCCTCCCCGTCCGTCCAGGGTATGAAGTTTGGCTTGAAAGAGTATCCATACCCACACTCATACCAACACTCTAAAAAAATCTTGCTGAAATGATGATGATGATGATGCTCTGGCTTTTGTAATAAAAAAAAAAAGGATGTTAATATAAAACAATTCTTCTGAATAAAGCGATGGAATTCACAAAGAATTGCATGAAAATGTTTATGCATGAGATACACCTATTTTGGATCAAAGAAAATATATGAAACTTGAATTCATGTCTAAAAACATATTTTGAATCTTTTGTCGATTCAGTCTTTGATGACTCAAGAAAAGATTCATTTTCCTTTTTCTTTCAATACGATTATAAACTAAAAATTCGTTTTGAAATAAATTTCTTGATTCATCTTCTTTATGTGCAAACTATTGCTTTCAATATTTGATAAGATACGAAAAGAAAAAAAATAAAAATAATAGCACGTATGTCATGCAGCATACACGCACGATGATGATCGAAATCATCGAGAGAATGAAGTTCGAAAAGAATTTTTCTTTCTTTTTGGAAAAGAAGCATATCATTAAAAAAATATTTAGATAATTTTCTTGATTTATTTAGCATACTAACTCAGTGACTTTGGGTGTGAGTGTGGGGTGTGGGTGTGGGTGTGAGTGTGGGTGTGGAATTGAAGAACACCCAGCCAAGCTCACGCACACGCACACCCACACCACACCGACACACCCACACCCACATCCACACCCACACTCACAGACTCACACCCACACCCGCAGCCACATATCCACACCCTCACACCCACACCCACCCACACTCACACCCACACCCTATTCAGCTATTTCCATTTGTTTCATTCGTTAGTATATCAGGCATCAACTTGTGATTATGTATCTTTGAATCTGAGAAATTCTATTGAGCTAGTGTATATTTTTTAGTTCATCTTTATATTATAGATGGACTTGGAGTTATTGATATGCTCATTTGACAAATTAAATTCATCTATTTATTTTTCTTTAGTTCATCTTTATATAGCACATGCAGTTATCCCCATCGTTTTGCTTATTTAACAAATTATATTCGTCAATTTGTTTTTCTTTGGTTCATCCTTATATGACGCACGAACTTGTATTATATGTTTGCATATCTGAGAAAATATCTTGAGCTATCTTTTTTCTTTAGTTCATATTGACATTAAAGATGAACTTGGGGATTTCGATCTGTCTATTTGAGAAAATTCTATTCATTTATTTCCTTTTCTTTGGTTCATCTTTATATTAAAGATGAATTTGGGATTATCGAATTGCCTAGTTGAGAAATTCAATTTAGTTATTTGTTTTTCTTTCATTCATCTTTATATATCACATAAAGTTATTCTTTTCGATATGCTTATTTAAGTGATGCAATTGTGTCTCATATTAATCTAGTACTAGACTTTGGTCTCGAAAATCGAGATGAACAGAACTAATTCTAGTTCTGGTGCGAGTCACTCTGACCACGACTGTGACCATGAGAATCAGCGAATTATATTATAAATCCTATCAAGCAAAATATAATTCAAGAGAGATGTCGAAAAAAGTTCTAGTCATCAACTAACAAAATAAAAACATGAGTATTGAAGAAATTTTTTAGATATGGTACAAATCAGGTTTGGAACAGTTTAATGTTGACTGTGATCGAGACTAGAATATTTGTTCTTGCATAACTCTACTCGATAGTATGCCTATCATGTTCCATGAGAAAGTAACGGCAATACTAAAGTATCTGTTATGATTTATAATGAATTTTTTTGATAAGATGTCTGTGAAGGAAAGTCATCATGCTTCAACACTTCTGTTAGATGATGTTTCACAAAATAAATAAATGATTTTGATAAATTTAAACGAATCGAGTACATTAGTTTTTTCAGCTATTTGTTGAATACTAATTGATAAAGCTTTTTATTTTTTTTTTCTGATAGACCAAGTAATGATATTTTAAGACCTAAAGCAATATTTTATATATATGTATCGAAAAATAAGTCTAACGAGGGAACCTTCCCAAGTGTTAATCGTCGATCGAGCTCATATTTTGCCCATAAGTAAGACTCGATGAGACTAGCAGAAACCCAGAAAGATTCATCCCCATACGCTGTCCTTCTGAGGTTATGACCGTTTTACTGGCTTTTCGACCTCTGGTAATGGCATTTAGAGGGAAGCCCAACAATGGAATTTTGACCTGAGATTTTGTCCATAAACAGGTTTCATGATCACTAGAATGTTCTAAAAATTTCAGCTAAAATGAACGTTTATTTCTCGAGATATAGAATTTTCAAGGAACGATCATATTTCAAAGGCAAAGGTCCAAAAATCGGGAATCTTGGAAACTCAATATCTCGAGAAAGAAACGTTCATTTTAGCTGAAACTTTTAGGATATTCTAGTGATCACGAGACCTGTTTATGAAGAAAATTTCAGATCAAAATTCCATTGATGAGCTTCCTTATAAATACCATTGCCAGAGGTCAAAAAACCAGTAAAACGGTCGTGACTTCGAAAGAACAGTGTATAGAGACAAATCCTTCTGGGCGTCTGCTAGTCTGATCGAGTCTTACTTATGGGCAAAGTATGAGCTCCATCGACGATTAACACTTGGAAAAAACAAAGATTAGTATTCGTTATTTGTTTTGTTGTTAAAAGATATTCATGAACTAGTGCCTTTTTTTCATTGCATCATCTAAATCATGTTTATTTTTTCGAAGAATATCTTTTGAATATTCAAACTATATTTGATACCATTTTATTAATAATTATTTTTCGTTGTTCTATTGTTAATCTTTGTAAAAGTCGACTACCATCACGAGCTATAGAATTTTAATTCAATTAAAGCTTTTCTATTAAACAAAATTTTCAAGTACCTTTAAGAGCTTGAATATCGACTGTTAATGTTTGTGCTCAAAAAAATTATCATACATCTAACAGAACTTTTAGACATCCGTAAATGAAATTTTGACGAGAGCTTCAGTGCGCCAACAATTACTCAAGGCAGACATGAAAATTATTTCAAATATAACGAATGAAGGCATTAACATTTCTCTATAAAATGGTACACTAATCATTAGTTTACTACAAGTCATTTGTCAACAGAGAATATTTTCGGTATCGATCACTGTATTAATTTTGGTAATTTTCTCAAATTTTTATGGAAAAAAAACAAACTTTTATAAAAAAAAAAAACTGAGTTTTTCTTCGATAATTGTTCTAAAACTATTTATTCTTATATTTAAGTTTACGAACACTCTGAGATTTAGTCTCAGGTCTCTCAAAAAAAAATTAACAGCTTGATTGGATAAAGTTGGATCGAGATGGTAAGTACCCATAATTATCTTTAAATCCATAAAAGGTACAATTTGTTCAATAATTCTATAGAGAATAATTTTATAGACTGAACACTTGATCCCAGCTCATTTTTTATAAACATCCTTAACTTTATTGACTTCTTCCTTAGTAATCATTCTAGAATCATCAATTTTCGTTTCATGAAATCGCTAAGATGGCGTTGTTAATACAATATTTAGTGAGCCTGGTTTCTTTTCAAATTCATTTTATAGTTACTATTTTACAATGTTGATTTATTTGAACATTTTGTCTAATTAATTTTCGATTACCTATTAATAGATTACACATAGCAATTGACTACACTGTATAGTAAACATCACTTGTAACTAATAACATTTGTCAATCTTCATTTTGTAATTGTGATACTTGTTCAACAATTGATGCTAAACATCCTATAGCAAAACCATCTTCATTTTCATGTATCAGAGAAAAAGTGAAGTGTTGAAGTACAAAAAAAGAAACATGAAAGAGTATACAGATAAACAATATCAATATTGAATATTTTTATTTTAACAAAAATGATTATCGAAGATAGAGTCAAAGCATTAATTGTTTTTTTTTTGTGTATAACTCATTGATAGATTACAGTAACTGTATTGCAGTCAAAAATTTTATTATAAGTAGTAAAAATAAATAATCATAGAGCAATGTTTCATCATTTGAATTAATTTCAAAAAAAAAATCATTTATTATAATATTCGTGTCTATGTTGATAGTTAATAGGGCAAATATTCAAATTTTAAGGTATTTGCATTTTTTTTTCTTCTTTTTTTCATGATCATCGGATAGAGTTCATCGAGTTACATAAGAAAAATATATTTTAAATTAAAGAGGAAAGTATTTCAAGCAAAATGTTCCGCATGCCATCATTTACATCTGGTCTAATTAACTAATAAAATGAACATCTCCATTGTTAGATTCATTACTATGAAATCAGAAACAATGAATAATTATAACACGGTCACAGTTAGAACTTCTATTTGCGGTTTATCTCAGATCCATGTGGATTGGCTAAACCTAAGAGTCATCAATAAGCGTTGACATTTACTTGAAGATGGGTCAACTCACATAATTGTTGGACGTAACTGGCAAATATTATTAGCATACTCTACTAGCCTTCAGTACTGCAGATTTAGAAGTTAAACAGTTTTCATCTAATATCGTATACTTATAACAGTGTGATGTAAATGATTGAACCCCGTGCAAATTCTAGGTGACCTTGTCACAGTTAGATAGAAATATTTTTTTTGTAAATTTAACATACAAAATTTTATTCAAAAAAATAATTCATAGTATAGTAACTTTTCATTGACAATGTCCTTCGTAATTTTGTCATTATATTTGAGTGTTTACTGGAGAAGACTATAAATTATATAATGGTGTATTATTACTACTAAATGATTGCATTAAATTTATGCAAAAGTTAAAAGACAATATGTGTGCATAAAAACAGAATGACAAAGACCTTTTAAATTTATATATATTCACATAAATGACAATGAATTTATATATAGAAAAGTAATATGTTTAATATCTATCAAACACATTAATGAAAGTTATTCATCAATTATTGTTTATATCTATATTGATATCAACATCTTCATCTTCTTTATTTCTGTTGTTGTCATCTCAACTGATAGTCGTCATGTTTAACACCATTACTAGTGAACATTTTGTTTGTAAAATAATTATCAGTTCTTTTATAACTACCTGAATAAGTATGTAATAATAATCATATAAAAATCAAGGTAAAACAAGTATTACGTTTACATAAAATGAGTTATCACTTCTATTTGTTAATTAATAGCTATCACCTTTTAAAATAGAATTAATCGTAATAAGTCTTGATCTCTTTATGACTACGGTCATTAATGTATAATAAATATGTTTTATTATATTATAAGAGCAAAAATTCAAAATTTCAACTTGAATTTGAGATCAAACAGTTATAAATATCTTTGTATAATATTACACAAGTCAATTTACTCAAATCTATGAAATTTCAGCAAGTTCTCACTATAAAACTTAAAAAAAAAATAGTAAGAGTTTCAAGGTCAACTAAGTTACGGTCGTTTGATAGATGTAGTTTTATGATCGCATTTCCCTATGTCGAATATTCGTTTTGTAGACCGTTCGATAACTGTTATCACTAACATATATTATTAAACGTCAATTTATAGTTCTTGACAATCACAAGAGGAATAAGATATCTGAATTTGTCTAGTTCTAACCGCAATCAAGTAGAGCCGATCATCGAATTTCTTTTTGTCAAGTCTCTAAAATTTTTCAGTCGTCAACAGCTCATATTTCTTTATATCTAGCACTAGTATATTTAGATAGATTTTTTTGTTCATTTAACATTTAATACATATTCATTTTATCTCTTATTCATTCATTATTTGTATTATTTATACAACAATCAAAAATCTTTTCTAGTAAAGAATAAAATAGTTTAATTTCATTTACATATAAATAAAAATTTTAACATTTGTTTTTTTTTTTTTGTTTTTTTTTATTGACTGGTTTGGAAAGGGAAGAACATATCATCTAGATTAAACATACAAAAAACAAAAAAAACAATAAAATGAGAAAAAAAAAAGAAGGAGAGATATAGAGACAATCTATGTATGATAAGCATCAAAGGAAGTTGCATAGATAAAATTGTATAAATCTTCCTGAGATTCTAATATAATTTAATATAATACGAGTATCACAGACAAAAAATAAATTTATATATATTTATTTATTTTGTTTTATTCTTTTTAAACATCTGTATCGTTTGATGATTTATTTTTTTCTAATTTTTCATCTTTTGAATAATGTTGATGATTATTATTTGTTAATAATGATAATGATGGAATACGAGATGATCGTTGTCGATGAGAATTTTTATTACCATTTTGATAATTTATATTTATTGGTTGTGTACTCGTATTTATATTATTTTCATTATTTATTATATCATTTGTTGAAATATTATGATGATGATGATTATGTCGTTGAGGATTAACAGTTGAATAAAGTCGATTAACAGTTTTATAACGTGTCCATAATTGATTAATTATTTCAGTAACAACAAGATCACTACTATTTAATGAAAGTAAACGTGTTAATAAAACTCCATCATCTTTTAAATAATGTAAAACAAAATCACGAGCTTCTTGTCGTTCTTCTTTAGGATTAAATGATGACATTATACCAAGATGACGTTTAATAAATCGTACTTTTTCACCTAAAAAAAATTAAAATTGTTTATTTAGTTAGATTATTATTTTATATTTCAAAGAGAGAAATAAAAATATAAATTTAGAAGAATAAAATATAAATATGAATCCTTGTAGATTATCATTGATCTTATTGAATATTATATATGAATAAATCGTTAGATTAATAGATATCTGATAGTTATCTATGTTCCTTAACAAGTTAGACATAATTCTGTAATCTTTCATCATATTTTTTTTACTTACATAGTCGTCAATAATTCTCAAGAAATTCAATATGTAAAGTAACTGATTATATCTAAACTAAATTGAATTCAACATTTTATTACTAGTCAGTTAGATGTATGAATCTATAATGAATTTTATAATAGTATTATAATAATAATCAGATATAGATAATATGATAAGAAAGAATTTTGTAATACTTTTACTTTGAAATAAATTACATGGAAAAAAAAAAACTTCAATAATATTATTTTAGATACGAATACGATGAATTTTAATAGATTATTTTTTTTTGTTCGTTATCCTAGATTGATTCTATTTTTTAAAACAAATCTTTTTGGTTATATTTTAAAAAAGTACAATGAAATAATCTTAAACTTACGTGGTACAGTACAATGATATAACCACATAAGAAAATCATAAACAGTTGCTTGATAAAAAGAAGACAAATATATATATATATATATATTAAAAAATAAAACTAAATATTTTCAAATTTTACCAGCGCTTAATGATATAAGCCAAAACCATTGAATAATGAAAATAACTTCATTAAATAAATTAATTCTTAATACACATTGTACAGTATAAAAATGATTAATACCAATTTCTCGAATTTTAAAATCGCTGAAAAGAAATAATATTTCATATCATTAAGAAAATCTTTGACTTAAAGCAAAACATAATTCTTATTAATAATAGATTATTAAGTAGAAGAATTATTCTGATGGCGACAATTCGATCCGTTTGAATCTTTTTTTGCTTTCTCGATTAAAAGCACTATTTTTTTTTTTTTTGTGGAACTCACATATGATTTTCGAAGAAAATAATGAGTGTAAGTTTTAAGATCAAGTTTTTGCAACTCCTCTCCTCTTCTTACAAACCATTGCAATTTCGCGAAAAAAAAAAGACAACATTTTCTAATAATCGATTATCATTAGAAAAGAACTATTATCTTTTAGAGAATTTAAAATGTTGGGTATTTTTGTGATTAGTATAATGAAATCAAAGAAGATATATGAGTTCTACATTTTCAGCCCCAAAGGGGTTGTGCTAACAAGCTTTTTTTTATTAAAATTCTAGATTCATTTTTTTCCTTTTCATTGATATGTTACTATATACGTACCAATATGTTACTTTAGGAAAATGTCTATTTTCTGTCCAACGTTGATTTTTAAATAATTTTTCCATAACTTCAAAACCAAATAAATAATATTCATTTCCTAAAAAAGCATTTAATAAAAATAATTGTGCTAAAACATTTACAAGCCATAATAATTTAATAAGAAAATAGACAATAACAAGATAATTTCCAAAATGACGATTTGAACAAAATAAAAATAATTGAAAAAATCGTCGAATATATGAATAATGTTTTTCAATATGACGTCGAGTTAAATGTGCACGTGCTGATATATAACGTTCAATATTAATAATAAGATAACTCATAATACGATCTCGAGATTCATACTGTTCGACTTGTTCATATTTCTAAAATAGAATATTAATGTTTTATTTTTAGTTTTTTCAATTAAATCTAATCATAAATCTTACAACAGCTGCATCAACTAAATTAACTAAATCAAGACCTGATTTAATATTAAGTGTACGCCAAACAACACGAGGAAAATAGAAAAGAAAAGCTTGAAAAAGTAATATAAATGGTACCCATTGATAATAGAGCTAGAAAACAAAAAAGAATTATTTCATATTTTAAATTCAAATTCATATATATATATATGTTTTACAATATCTTTATTTCGTCGTCCTTGTTCATCATCAGGTAGTTCTTGATCAATTGGAATATCTGAAAAACAAAAATTTATTCATTTCCAAAATAGATTTTTCTTCTTGTTCTTATTCATCTCTTACAATAAGTATTTGCAATCCAACAATAACTATCTGTATATGCTTCATAAGAGGGTTTAAATTGAGCTGGTACCTAATTGAAATAGACATACAGAGATGGAAATATAATTATCAAGAAAAAAAAAAACAATTATGTATATACCCAACAATCAATTGGATCGCCTATTCAAAAAAAAAGAAAACAAAAATTTAAAGAAAATTTTTTTAATTAATCTAACCGGCATATTGTTTCGTAGTAACAAGTATAGCAAAAACAACACATAATGTTGTTGTATATCGATGATTGAGTCGATCAACATATGAATCATCATCACGAAATTGTCGAATATTCGATACAGAAAGACCGGCAAGTTGCCTGACTAATTCCATCTATAATATTGTTTTTTAGATTGCTGTTGATAATCATTGGGCATAGTCTTTCTATAAAGCAATCAAAATTGTTTCGATCTAGAAAAAAGAATAGAAATAATGATGAATAAAATTTCTTATATCTTCGATTTCAACAAAAAAAAAAAAATTTTTATCTATAATTATACTCCATCTTGTGTTAGTAAATGTTATTCAATTATTTCAATAGAATAATATTTATAGATATATAAAAAAAATAATTTTGTTTTTTTTTCTTATTGATAGATGTGAACTTGAATAATGGCATTATATTCGTCTCATCACATTCGCTCTCGCTTCTATATTATCACATTGCATTATCAAAAAATGATTGTGGAAACGAGATTCTCGTCTCTCAATGCGGCTTTTCTGTTCCTGTTACAACCATCATCATTATCATCATCATCATTATTATTATTATTATTACTTGAGAGTAAGACTCGTCATTGAGAGACAGAGCGAACGAAGCGAATAGAATAAGAAACATCCATTTATACATCCATACGCATCACTCCTCACATCCGGTGATTACATAAAAAACCAGCACAAATATGAAGATGTTCCTAACTATAGATGCAACTGAAATATACACGCATATTTATTCTGATAAGATGATAAAAATATACGCACGCATGCACATATCGATTAATTTAATATGATTTCATTTCAAATAAATTATAATCAATCTGTAATATCAATATGAATCAACAACAAAGAAGAAGAAAAAAAAAAGCATAACGATATGGACAACCATAATCATATGATAGAAACTATTTAACTAACTTCATTATTTAAAGTGATAAGATACATGAATACTTGTCAGAGTAGTTGATGATGACATAGAAGATGATTATATGTTCTCTTATCATTAGACATTAGGGAATAACATATATCGATTACAATCAATAGATAGAAAACCTAGTGAAGTAAATTGTGAGTGTTCATGTCGCTCGTCATCATAAGCTTACAAAATAGTCAATAGAATAAATACTCTTTTTTTCTTTTTCTTTGAGCACTCTACTGACTCGTTCTTTTTCAATTACTATTGAGAGACTCTTCCGGAATCGTAACTATCGGTCTGCATATGTTGAAGGCCAACTTAAGAGTTCAACTATTGAAGTAAACTATCATTATATATATATATATCTATGGGTGCCAACATATGTCATGATGACAACATATAGATAGACATATTTTTAGAATCAAACATTTGTGTTTTATTGTTCTTTTCTTGTAATGATTGTCTAACTGTCAATCAACTTAATCAGTATTTTACTAAGACCACCTACCTGTATTGACAATTAATATATGCTCGGTTTCTTTGTGTGTGTGTGTATCAATCACAAGCGATTCTATTATTATTATTATTATTATCATTATAGGAGAAAAAAATAACAAGACTTCGTCAGTAATTAACAAAATCGTACGGTAGATAGCATATCCTATGAAAAAATCTTGTATTTTCCTTCTATATTCTGACACGTTTTATTGATAAAACAAGAAGAACGACGAACAACAACAACAAGCGATGATTTTTCTTAAAACAAACCGTTATCTAGTGGGCTAGTTAGAAACATATAAAATATTAACATAGAACGTATGTACAACAGAAAAAAAGAAGAACAACACATCAACAACTATATATCCAAAATGCCATAATACGGAAAGCAAAGGAATATCTGATACTAATCCTTTTCTTCTCTCCTCCTACTTTTACTTGTTCTATTCTATTTTTCTTCTCCTTCTCAAACGGTCACTCATTCACACGAGTTAGCACAAGCAGGAAACGCTCTACTACTGCCGGGAGCCACTTGTATTTGTTGGCTATAGTAAGAAACGACAAAGTCGTATATTCATCTAGTTGCACTAAAAAAAAGAAGAAGAAAAAAAGAAGAGAAAAAAAAAAGAGCAACAACATTTCATAGTCTTGGAATGCTCTTGCCTGTTTTGTGTTCGTTCATTTTTTTTTCCTTTTTTTTTTTGTAGTTTCCGATTGCCCTCATGTCATGTACAATAAATGCTCTTATGTGCCTTGTTGAACGCACTATTATGGATAAAAGAAAAGATAGTCGCACGGTTTTGGTCTTCTAAAACGCATCTATAAAAAGAATTGAGAGAATGAGACTGGAGAGAAAAATACACTCTTTTTTTTTCTTTTTCAAAATAAGAAGCATTCAAATTTTAAATTTTTCAAGCATTGAGAAAGAGACATACAAAAATTAGAGAAGCATCAGATGGCGTCGTCAAAGGAAACGAATATTACTGCTAAATAATAAAGATGACGATGATGATGATAATGATAATAATAATGAGTCAACACCCGGTCGTTGACAATAAAGAGTTGATTATATATTAAATAATATGTGCACGCATGTTATTCTCATTAGTCTAACTTTTTTTTTTCTGTTTCCGTTATGATATAGTGACCTAAACAAATAGATTAGTTATAAAAATATCCTAGGAATTTATTGATTAATTGATTAATTGATTTTCTTAACTTGACATATTGTTTAAAGTTTACATTACGATTTGTCATAAGTTCGTCAAGAAACAAGAATAAGACCAGAAAGAAAAAAAAGAAGAAAAAAAGAAACAAGACAATAACCACATGTTATTATTCTTACTAGCAATATCTATTGCCTTCAACTACAGTATGTCATGTTTATATGTTTTTCTTTTAGCAGTTTTCACTCTGTATCCTTATGTTAGGAACGAATCATTATTAACTTCAAACACTATGCATAAAATAGGAACTGATAAACTATGAAAAGTTCTAAAAGAATAAGTTTTCCTAAGGCTATGTCATTAGAATTCTAGACAATCAGCCTATAATACGGTTTACATATACATATATCAGAGAATCGAAGAATAGTATTCGAATGTGTAATTTCGCTAATAGATAGAGTTTGTTGTAACTAGAATGTTTTTAGAATATTATTTCAAAAGAAGATTTTTGATCACAATATATTGAATTATAAAAAGAAAAAAAAAACATCAAATTTTCACATCTCTTTTGAAGGCTAGAATTCTAGTTGTATGAGTATAAATCAGAAAAGATTTTTTTTTTGTAATTTTTCAAGCTTCAATGAGATCTATCTTATGCAAAGAGGCCAATTCTATAAAAAACTGGTTATTCACTTAGAACAGTTCTCTCGTTAGACGTCTATGATGAAACATTGATGATGATTGATGACATATATACACAATGTAATCAAATTGTTTTATCAGAATATTTATAATCACACGTATATAATTAGAGAAAAAAAAAAACATTCTTTTCATCTTATGTCGAATTTGTATACTAGATTTCTATGGTTTTTTTTTTTTTTGGTAACCGTTATGAAAGCACATTAGTACAACGCTTTTTTTGACACGAAATAAAAAAAAAAAAAGGGTAATTTGGTTATCAGTAGAAGTATAGATAAATCATATTATGAGATAAGTATTGAAGCAATTGATAAAAAAAGAAGCTTGTCGTTTTTTGTCTTACTATTCATAATATAGTAATTAGAAACAAAAAGAATACTATCGTGTAAAACTAATCTATTGTATCATTTGTCTTACAATGTCTACTTTATTTAAGCTTATACATCTCTCAAAGCCGATTATGGATCACGAATATTCAAATCGAATGAAATTACCAGCATAAATAGCAGAGAAACTATGGTAGAATTTTTATCACGATTTTAACGAGCTTTCATAAGATATTAAACAAGAGTAAAAATTTTAAAAAAAAGTTAACTTGACACTTTGAAATTCTCTGTAAGCTATGATTCTAAATATATTTCTTTTATATGAAAGATTATATAAAGCTACAGGGTTTGACAGAACTTTTTTTTGCAGCAGCAGCAGCATCGAATTTGTCACTCTTAGCTTCCAATAAAAAAAAAGTAAAGACTTTAAAAAAAAAAAAAGAAGAAACTACTTATATTACAAAATTTATTTAATTAGAACGTCCTTGAATTAAAATCGATGTTAAGCAAGAAGAACATTAATGAATCAATTAGTGAACTTATCTGAGTTAGTGTGTAGAAATATCACTGCTATCATGTGTCAAAAAGCAATAGATTATTTATCCATATGTTTCGTCTTTATATTTATCTCAACATGATGATAGTAATTGACAAATGAAGATAGAATACTATTGAAAATCGTCCTTCCACTTAAACATGATTGACTTGCTCATGAAAAAGAAGATATTTCAACACTTTCATCTATTGATAAAGTAATTATAATGATGCAATTGTGACGATATATTTTCTCATCAACTTAAGATTTATATTTTGACTAATTATCATATGAATAATATTAAATGTCATTTCATGAAATTTTTTGAACTATTCATAATAGTACAAAAAGAAAAATACATATTGCCTACCATAGGAATTCATAAAACTAATTTTAATTCTCGAAAATCTTTGAGAAAGTTTTAGAAATGGTTCTTTAAAACTATTTGGATAAAGTAGTCAGTAAAAAAAAAGTTTTCTTTTTTTTTTGCATTGAGTTAAATCTATGAAATAAACAAAATATTTTTCAGAAATAATCAAATCTTGTATATCTTATGAGACCTACAATTACATGAAGGTATGAATTTTCTTACAAAGACAATATTGGATAGTGTTCATCTTCATTTTAAGTAATGATAGGAAGACTATATAAAAATAAGACTTTGCCTTTTTTTGGGGGTGGGTAAGAATCAAACTGTAGACAAATTGTATGTTGTTTTATATAGATAGACATATGCAAAATTCTTCAGATGAGGAAAAAGGGAATTTTCTAATGAATCTTTAACATAAACTCGAAGTTGTTTAGAAAATCAACGTAAGAAACTTCAGATTTTTAATGTTTTGATGATTCAAAAAAAAAAGAATAAAAGATTCTTAAATAATATACCAAGAATAACTACGAAAAATAAGTAATTGACAACATGAATATTGTTGTTTGTTTGATGATATTTTAACATATATATTACTTCAATTCTTGTGTCAAAAAAGACCATCACATATAATACAAGAACAACTGCTAGTTAACCTTGAAAAAATGTCATAGCAAATATGAATGTATTATTCCCATGTGGTTAAATAAATACAAAAAACAAGATATTCATATCAATGTATGAAAATTTTCAGACATGATTATTATTAAGAGTAAAATATGAAATTATTATTCAAAAATTTGAATAAGAAAAATATATTTTACAAAACATTATTTTCGTATGAGTTTTTTTTTTTTTTTTTTTTCATCTGAATATGTTCCGGAAATAATGTGTTTTTAAAATAATTTTGTTTATTATAATATCTTGAAAATTATAGATCAATAGCTGTTGTCCTTGTTGAGTTGATGAGAATCCAACAGTTCCCTCTTTAATTTTGACACGCACATTAGTTTGAGAATATATGCTGACATCCGATGATAATAATAGGTAGTCACGAGAAATGTATTTTATTTCATAATTTGTTCACTCCTTCGTGCTTAGATCAAATCGTAAAGTCATCTGAACCATAGACCGGAAAAGAATCAAATCCGAACTGACTTTTCTATAATAAAATATAAATGAACTGAATTCTAACAAGTTAAATCCGAATTGACTCGATATTCGATATGATTAATGAAAAATTTAATAATCAACGAGTCAAAGACATCATTATATCAACTTCATGAATTATAAATTCTGATAAATTTTAAATACTTCTGTTCTATCTAATATTTGGACAAACATCTGAGAATAATTAATATACAATAGAAACGTAATTGATATATCCACAATGATCTTTTCCTTTTGGCCATAATAAATAGCACAATTCTTGTTGTTTTTTTTTCTTCGATTATTGCTGCTTGACTTCATATTTTATAGTAAAAATACAAATTTTATTTATTTCATCTATACTAAAAAATTTAACCTTGAAAATGAGAATTCGTCAAAATCCTGTAGAAATCATATTGAAAAATAGAGAAACAATTTCATTACAAATGCAACTAAGCCAAATGTCGAGAATTTCAATATGGAGCAAGTATTTATCTGATAAATTATGTAGACAGTAATAAATTTACTATTTATAAAATTGGAACTACATATGATGTTCATTATAATACGTACATATTTTAATTTTTCATAAAAAGAAAAAGAAAAAAAACTTTTTCTTTATATATTCTGATAATAATAATAATAACAATTCTCTATTTATCTTTGATATATTTGAATTTCATGAAATCATTTAGAATATCTTTCAATTTTATTAAGAGAACAAACTTCGTCAACATAAATAGTAAACAATTCATTATAAATAATTCTTGCTTGACTATGATATGTAGTGTTCATTTCGATGTATAAGCAAACATCTTTTTTATTCATTTAAAATAGAAATGCATGGTGTCAAGGTTCAAATGAACTATATTTCTTTAACGTTCTTGAGAACATACTACAAATGCAAACAAACGAGACAGACTTTTTTTAATATATATGTGGATGTGTAGACGGTTGGGCATTAAAAGGGACGAAACAAAAAAAGAAGAATTGTTAACAAACAAGTTTTATTGAAATTTTATTCTTATGATATTAGTTGAAGAATAATCAAATATCATAGAAAAATAGAACATTGTTTTTACTATCAGACTATATAAAGCGAAAGTGTCTTTAAAAGAAATCAAATTATTCGAGTATTTCATTTCTACTGATAAAATCTGTATTTCCTACTTCTATTCGTATATATTAAGCAGATTATTGTATAATTAAATACCAATACTTTCCGTACTGATCATTCAATCCTTATACTATTCACTTAAGGAGACTTTTCTTTTCTGGAGTTTCTCGAGTACGACTTGGCAAAATTTTTTTGAAATTTTCAAAGTAGATAGATCTCAATGAGTAGAATAAAAGTTTCAAAATTTTTGAAAATGCTTTCTTCTAGAAGATCTTGGAAATTCATAGGCCAAACATAATGAAATTCGAGATTGTTAATCTTACAAAATTCAAGTTTTTATATGTTTTAAAAATCTTGATCTTTGCATTTAGTCTGATTATAGTTATTTCATTTTTAGCCGATCATCAGACTGAAGTCGCATGCAAGAATATTTAAGACATCATGCGGCTTAGCTCAACTTAACTGATCGAGTTCATTCAAGATCATCGATTCAATATGATTGATTTGAAATGAGTGTTACATGTATTTCATTCGTTCGTTAGTTATTTACTCATTTTCTGACTGCTTTTTATTCTCTGTTCAAGGTAAACTCATCGAACATAAAAATAATATCATTGAATGCACAATAATAATAAAAAAACCTATAAAATAATGAATCTACAGAAGAAAATTGAAATTCAATAATTTTGTTTTTTTT